CTCTCCAAAGCCCCTCCCCCTGCCTCCCCAAAAAAAGTCTTCCCTGTTCCCTTCGGGTAAATCGGGAGACCGGGTCCGGAGGTGGCGGAGAAGAGGGCGCCTTGGTTCCCCACCTCCACAAAAGCGAGCCGGGACTTCGGGAGCGCTGAACCCGCCCCTCCCCCCCCCTTCCCCCCACTGCCCCCGGGGGCCCGAGGCACCTGCGTGCGGCGGAGGGTTGCCCGTGGGGTGGGCGGCGACGGGTGCGGGGGTCCGAGCCCCCGCGGCGCTGTCCCCCCAGCCCTCACCTTGAGCCGGGCTCGGGGCCTGGAGAGGTTTCCGGACCGAAGACACCCCTGGCCCCGCTCTGTGCCGCCTTCGGGATCGCTACCAAGTCCCCCCGCTCCCCCCCACCCCCCCAGCAGGACTAGGAGGGAACTTTTCACAAAAGCAAATGCCCAGGCGTCGTTTTTGTCCTCAGTATTGAAGCTCGGCGTTGTGTTTGCCTTCGTGGGTTTGTTGTGTCGGGCACCCTTTTCCCTGAAAACTTGGTCAGGATTTGTGACACATCGCCTGCCTGGCACGGAGCACACAGTAGGCGTTCAGGAGATGTCTTCTGAAAGCATGAGTCACGATACTAATTTGGAAAATTATACTGAGTTGTGCGTTGCTACAATTTTTAAGATATTATGGATATTATAGGTTTCCAAGATCACTTTGAAAATTACAGTAATTTGAAAGCTCAGCAAAGAGTTAAATAAGGGTTTGTGTTGTTTTTTTGTTTGCATTCCCTATAACAATGGACTGTTGGAGTTCAGTAAATAGACACAGCTCCTGATTTTCGCAGTGTCACCCTTTCAGATGAAAACCTTCGGACTACCTACCATTCTGTTATAGGACAACTTTAAATTATTTATAAAGCTTTATCCTAGTTACCTTTTCAGATACAGGTGCAAGGGACCACACTAATGTACTTGTGAATACATTTAGAAAATTAGGTCTGAAATATGGAATTTTAAAAAGTATTTATGTTCATGCCTAGTGAAAGAACGTGTAGAGAAAAATATGACTGCAAATCTCCAACACACACACTTCCCCGCCCCTTACCAGGGGCAGCTGCTGCCTTGACCTCAAAATGTCTTGTAAAATTATCTCTTATTAGACTGGCATATCTTAAGCAAAAACCTCTGGGATTAAACCACCCCATGGGGACAACCCTTTAGTACTAACAGTTCTCACACATGGTGCCCGTTTCTTCTGAGTTTTTCCGAGAAATAGGAAAGGTAATGAAGTTTAAAGTTTTGTGGTGGTTCTTGTTGTTAAGAAAGAACTTACTGATATTAAGTGGGAAAAGCAGAAAACAAAATGGTAATAACCACAAAGTTCAGTTCATCGGGACATCCTGGTCTTTCTGCCGTGGGAAGGTAAGCTACAAGTGGTCAGAGCCTTACCTGCCCATCACCAGTGAGTGCCCCGTGCCCAGCACAGTGCCCGTTCCATAGTCGCCGTTGATTAAACTGTGAGATGAATACTTGGCTGTTTCACATAACAGTGTAATGACTTTCTATATATGTGGTTTCTTCATTTGCTTGCATTCTTCCTTAAAATAGATTACTGGAAGTGAGAATTATACTGGGTCAAAAGGTATGAACATTTTCATGTTTATCAAAATATTGCCAACTCACTCCCCAAATGAGCCTTACCGTTTTGTGCCGGTATATTTGAGGGTGCCTTTCAGAGCATCCTCTCAGGCTCTTATTGATACAGTGTTTGGCAGTTATGGGTATTTTCAGGTGACGTATCTCCTTTGATTTCAGTCAACCTGGAAGGTGGGCAGGGCAGGCATTGCATTCCTCCTTTTGTAACAGCATCTTCCAGTGCCTTAACTTGATACAGTGAATGACAGAAGACAAAATAATCATGCTTTCAGGTTCTTCTTCCTCACATTCTTTCCCTTTGGTGTGTAGTGACCATCCTGAACAAATACATATTTTCCCTTAGCAATAAGATTGGGTACCACGCTATAATATCTATGGTTTACAAGATCTCCTTTTCTTTCTCATTTTGCTCAGATATTTGCAGATGCCTTCATCAAACTTGAGGACTTCATTAAAATTAAATAATGAAGCACAATGTATATGAAAGTAAAGACATTGATTAGTTGTAAGGAAACACCAAAGCACTAGCAAGTTTAGAACATTACTACCCTTTCTATTAGGAAAGATCTGGAAACTTTTGGTGGTGCTTTTGTAGCTTTTGGTGGTCCTTGTGTCACCTTGTGTCAATGGTCCTAGACCAGCCGTGGGCAAACTACGGCCCGCGGGCCGGATCCGGCCCGTTTGAAATGAATAAAACTAAAAAAAAAAAAAGACCGTACCCTTTTATGTAATGATGTTTACTTTGAATTTATATTAGTTCACACAAACACTCCATCCATGCTTTTGTTCTGGCCCTCCGGTCCAGTTTAAGAACCCATTGTGGACCTCGAGTCAAAAAGTTTGCCCACCCCTGTCCTAGACATTGTGTGGGTTTATGACAACTAGTTCTTCAAGAAGCTTACCTGTAAGTCTAAATTATGTTCCTTTTGTTTTCATAGTAGGATATTTCTGCATCTGAAGATAAAGCAATAATCTTCTCTGCAGTAGATGGATTTTTGTCACTTTCTGTGAAATAAAGCAATTCAATGTCTTTTCTGGTAAGTTCTTTTTAACATGGATCTGATTTTTGTGCCTTCAGAGTAGTTGGATGGTGATGCAGAGACATAACAAAGGCATATTCTGATGAGACAGTCTTTACTCTGATGTTATTTTTATTTATTTTTTTTAAATATATTTTATTGATTTTTTACAGAGAAGAAGGGAGAGGGATAGAGAGTTAGAAACATCGATGAGAGAGATCGATCAGCTGCCTCCTGCACGCCCCCCAGTGGGGATGTGCCCGCAACCAGGTACATGCCCTTGACCGGAATCGAACCTGGGACCCTTGAGTCCGCAGCCCGACGCTCTATCCACTGAGCCAAACCGGTTCGGCATGATGTTATTTTGACCTGAATGACTTCTGGTCTTAAGAAATGAGTTAGCCTTAACCGGTTTGGCTCAGTGGATAGAGTGTCAGCTGCGGACTGAAAGGTCCCAGGTTCGATTCCGGTCAAGGGCATGTACCTTGGTTGTGGGCACATCCCCAGTGGGAGATGTGCAGGAGGCAGCTGATCGATGTTTCTCTCTCATTGATGTTTCTAACTCTCTATCCCTCTCCCTTCCTCTCTGTAAAAAATCAATAAAATATATTTTTTAAAAAAAAGAAATGAGTTAAATTCTCATCGAGTTTTTGTTTTTTCAAAAAAGAGTTTCTCCTGTACTTTCATATATACTCATTATTCTGTTCTTGTAACCCAGACCCACCTTTCTCATACATGTGCTGTGCTTGGATATGCCTCTCTCATCTAGTTAGCTATGTCTTACCCTTTAAATATTTCAAAAATATCTCTTAAAAATTTCCATCTGACTAAAGGCAAGCAAGATAATATTTAAATAAGCCCCTTGCCTTGACAAGACAAAAAGCAGTTGGGTCAATGTATAATCTGATGTATAGATACTATTACATCCACATCTGAATATACTTTAGATATTGGTATCTGCTTAATTAAGTAGTTTTATGACTTTCATCTTGCTTTATACAGAATATAATACAATACTTAAATATTTGAATTATTATATTAAAGCAGTGATCTTTTAAAAAGTGGTGGGTGCATTTATATGAGGATGTATAGTTTACAGAAAACTTTCATACATTGTATCTCTTCCAGTCTTCAAAGTTGTGATTGACTGGCTGGGCAGGTGGTATAATCCTCATTTTGAGTTTGGCCCAAGATTGCGAAAAATTAGAGCCAGGGCTCAAACTCATATCTGTTCATCAACACCTTCATTTGCCAAGTGTAAGAAGCAGAACTATGAAGTGAGAAGAATGTTAGTTATCTAGAAAATACAGGATGCATTACTTATGTCTAAAGTACAGCTTTCCTCCTTAAAAGGGGGAGCTTTATATATCTGGAAAATACATTAAGGTGAGATACCTACTTAATTTTCCAAAGCAAATCTGAGGATCAAAATAAAAATGATTATAGTGGGTAGAGCAGAATAATCTTTAGCTAAATATTCAGAAGAAAACTGCAGGTGATAGAAGAGTTCAATATCAATACCAACTGTAAAAGTGAATTGATACTATGATCTCCAGAGAGAGGACAAGGATCAGAGATATGCCAAGTAGAATTTTAACAGAAGGCATTTGTCTTCTGCACACACAGCTGCTTCTCTGTCCTCTCGCATACTGTACCCCCACATTATGAGTTCTGGCTTCAATTCCAGATCCCTGCATGCTACCCTTTCTCTCTGCCCCTCACTCCATCACTAGACCTTGTATCACATGTCACCCCTACTTATTTCGTGGGGGCTTTTTTCACTTTATTTAATTCTTTTCTGAATTTCCAGGATTGTTTCTGCACTTCACGAACACAAGTTGAATCACTCAGACCTGAAAAACAGTCTGAAACCAGTATCCATCAAAACTTGGTAAGAAATGATTGAGTACAATTAATACTCCTTTGCCTTCTGTAATACCACTCACTCCTGGTTCTCCGACATTCTTCTCCTTTACCGTGTCTTTGCTACTCTCCAGTGGCCTATCATTGGCCTCTTCTCTTCTGTCTAAACCATCTCTCCTTGAGCATCTCACCTGTTTAAGACTCTGTTGCTCAGGTTTCAGATTATCCTGGAGCTCCCTCGGGTTTTCCTTCAGGTGAGGAGGGGACTCTGGCATCAAGCAGAACTGATGATTTTCACATTTTTACCTACCACTCTCACTCTTTCTTGGGCACAGGGGTGTCTGTAGAATATCTTGTATTAGGGTGCAGTTTCGGTTAAACATTAATTTTCTCTCAGACTCAGCAACACATTGTGTTTCCTGCTTTGGCTAATAAAAAACCCATCTACTAGATCATCCTGACTAGAAACTGGAAAGATCCTCACACTGCCTCTACCTCTGCTCCCTCTGCTCCCACATGTATTATACACCAAGTCCTATGGTTCTGTATCTGAAATGCCCTTGAGTCCATGCCCTCCTTCACCTGGTCACTAACTACTGCTACTCAAGTCTCATCATCTCTCACTGGACTGTTACAGGAAGACTCATTGCGTCTAGTTTCCTAGGCATGCGTATACCCTCCTCTCACCACTCAGATCAGGATTCAACACTGTTACCAATACAGGCTTCCTTGTGTCACTTTCCAACTTTAAGATTTCATTGGTTTCCAAAAGCCTATGGGATAAAGCCTAAACTTTTTCTTTTTCATGCAGGAAATTTATTGGGAAGTTCTTTCTAGACGAACACTGTGAGAGAGGGAGGAGGCAGTGTTATTGGTACCTAAGAAGTCTGAGGAGAGGCCATGAGCATCTCTGGAGCTGGCATGGCTCTACCTAATTGTCCTAGTTGCCCAAGGGCTCTGGGCATTTGTACTCCTGTATCCACCAGTGTTGGATACAAACTGACCCCAGGGAAGTGGCATAACTGGGCAGGGTGGCTTCTTTCTGAAGAGGGCAATTCCCTGTACAAGACTCAGTGGTCCTAGTGGTTGGGGAGATTAGCACCTCCATTCTGAAAGCAAACCTGGCTGTGCTCCATAGTATCCCCCAGAGAGAATCAGCTAATGAGCGAAGGACAGGAGATTTTACTAAGAGTCTTAGGGTATTAATAGAGGTTTTCCACGTGGGTGAGGGAAGGCCTAAACGTTAGCATGGTATAAGGCAGTGGTCAGCAAACTCATTAGTCAACAGAGCCAAATATCAACAGTACAACGATTGAAATTTCTTTTGAGAACCAAATTTTTAAACTTAAACTATATAGGTAGGTACGTTGTTATTAACTTAATTAGGGTGCTCCTAAGGCTTAGGAAGAGCCACACTCAAGGGGCCAAAGAGCCGCATGTGGCTCACGAGCCGCAGTTTGCCGACCATGGGTATAAGGGATCTTAGTGGTATGGAATAACTTTAATTTTTTTAGTTTTATTTCTTGCTACTGAGTCTTAGCATAAACTCTTCTTTCTGTTTGAAATAGTCTCCTTTTTCTGCCTCTAAAATTTCTCCTCATTCATAAAGAGTTGGCCCAAATATCACATCTTGAAGCTTTTCTTCTTGTACTTTTTATTTATTCTCCAACATATGTTAGACATTTCTATAAAATGGCATTTATTCATTATCTCACAATGATTGTTGTATACGTCTCTTCCAAATATAGCACAATACCCATAAAATAGGCATCCTGTCTTTTTCATCTTTTTTTTTTTTATTGCTAAAAGTATTACAAAGGGTATTGCATATGTGTCCTTTTTTTTCCCCTGCCCTTGACAATCCCCTGGCCTCCCCTACCCCCCAGTGTCTTATGTCCATTGGTTATGCTTATATGCATGCATACAAGTCCTTCGATTGATCTCTTACCCCCTTCCCTCCTGCCCCCCAAACCTCCCTGGCCTTCCCGCTGCAGTTTGACAATCTGTTTGAGGCAGCTCTGCCTCTGTATCTATTACTGTTCAAAAGTTTATAAAGGTCTCTATTATCCATGAATGAGTGAGATCATGTGGTATTTTTCCTTCATTGACTGGCTTATTTCACTTAGCATAATGCTCTCCAGTTCCATCCATGCCATTTCAAATGGTAAGAGTTCCTTCTTTTTTACAGCAGCATAGTATTCCATCGTGTAGATGTACCAAAGTTTTCTAATCCATTCATCTACTGATGGGCACTTAGGCTGTTTCCAGATCTTAGCTATGGTGAATTGTGCTGCTATGAACATATGGGTGCACATATCCTTTCTGATTGGTGTTTCTGGTTTCTTGGGATATATTCCTAGAAGTGGGATCACAGGGTCAAATGGGAGTTCCATTTTTAGTTTTTTGAGGAAATTCCATACTGTCTTCCATAGTGGCTGCACCAGTCTGCATTCCCACCAGCAGTGCACAAGTGTCTCCCCTGGGCAATGCCTGATGTAAATAATATTTAAAGAAACATGCTCAGGAATGAATATTTCTCACTACAAAATGGAACCTGCCTTGCAAATGGCTTATTTCCTACAAAATAAGATAATCCCATTTAATCCTGTTTTTACATTTATCCCGATTTTGTCTTCATTTTTGTCATTTCACTTTTTGCTCACTAATACTCTAAAGTCTTCTAGGTACCTGTCCTTTTGTACAGTAGTATGTAGTGTCTAATCCTTGCTTTTATTCAAATATTACCTTCAGGTTGAGATATTCAGAGAGTAAAGTGTCTGTTGTTATCTCCTTGCTGTTGCCAGGAAACAGGCCTAGAACTCAGTAAACTTCAACACGTGCTACCTTTTTTTGGGTATGTGCTAAATAAAATTTACCATATTAACCATTTTTAAGTGTGTACAGTTCATTGGTATCAAACACATGCATAATATTGTGCAACCATCACCACTATTCGTCTCCATAACTCTCCATCTTGTAAAATGGAAACTCTACCCATTGAACAGCAACTCCCTGTTCCCTCTCCCTCCCCTTCCCCTGGCAACCACCATTCTACTTTCTGTCTCTGGGACCTTGACAACTCTTAGTACCTAATATATATGTGTGTGTGTGTGTGTGTGTGTGTGTGTGTGTGTATAGTTTTGTTTTTATTTATAGATTTATTTTGTTTTATCTATAATAATCAAAGCATAATATGCTAATTAGACTGGACGACCTTCCAGACAAAGCCAGGGCTGCGAGGGAAGCCTGGGTCCTGGGTGCCAGAGGGAAGCCGGTGCTGGCAGCCGGGGGAAGGCCTACTCCTTGCACAAATTTTGTGCATCGGGCCTCTAATATATATATATATAAAATAACCTGTTTTGGGCTTGAGCTAGTTATTTACAACATATGTGCCTTCTAGTTTAAAGAAGACTACTTTCCTAATGGAGAAGATGGAAGCAACGAAGCAATGTACAAGTTGATCAGTCTGACTGCAGTCCATCATGTGACCACCTATGCCATTTTTTTCAGGCAGTGATCTGTAAGCCTCAGTTCATTCTGTGTTCTAGCCTCCCTGACAGGCTTCAGGTTGTGACTTAAATTTTTTTTTTTAATTGTTATATGCTCTTCTTTCTGTCTCTTACATGTGTTCTTTAGATCTCAGTTTATTTGAAGACTGCCTGTCATAAAGAAATTAACTTGATTTATTTATATTTCTCTTTTTTTCATTGGGATTGTTTCCAGTTGTATAATGGAAATTCTTTTTACACTGTTTCATCCCTCTTTTAACAATATTTACTTTCATTCATCTTTAGCCAGGAGCTTATATTTTTCTGCTCTCTTAAAACTTTAGGGAACATGTAGAGTTAAGGATATGAAAAGTAATTAGCACAATTCCTAGCACATAGTAATATGATTTCTAACCCCCTTCTTCCTTCTCCTTACCTCGGGGGCAGTAATAAGATTCTGGCGCCTGCTGGTGCCTGGAAGGCGCCTGAGTGTCTTTGGAGTGCTGGTGTCCTCTGGAGAGCCTCCTGGCTATCGTATGACACCAGGTTCTTGGCCTCCTCTTCCTCCTGCGTGCATGCTTCACTGCCACTGGGACGGTGCAGACCAGACTCCGACTCTAGAGCACCCTGTGAGACACCAGAGGGTTCCTGTTCATTCACTCGGGGGGTCTGTACTGTGGTCTCCCATTTCTTGACATTTATTTATTTATGTCCCTTCTGATTCCTTTCATCTTGTGAAGAACATCTTCAGCAATTTTAATAGACTAGAGTGTGGAAATTGTTTCTTGACATTAGCACCTCCACTAGCTGAGCATGTATCTGGATGTGTCATGGATAAAATTTGGGATCCCTTGAAGCAGTAGCACAAGCAGAGAATCCTTCCTCAAAGGCCCCTGCATCTCTTCCTTTGACATATTTATTTATTACTACCTTGAAGAATGAACTATTCTTAGCAACTCCTAAAAAGGCTTACTTGAAATTGTGCTGGAAAGTGTTCTTTGCTACCTATAAATCTGTTTTTCCTGCCCTCTCACCTTTATCAGCGGATAGCTTTCTAACTGGCATCAATTATTAGCAATTGTAAATTCTTTTTAGATCTTGAACCGGTGTCCTAAGTCACCTTTCAGTGTGCCTTTCCTAATGAGCACTGTGTGTTTGAAAATACAATGTCTGCATTTTATATTGGGTTGGGGGACCAAGAGTCTAAACGTATTTTGTTTTCATCTTTCTAAAACCATGCAGGTTGATAAGCCAACCCTTCCCTGGTTGTCTCCATCTGCTAGACTCAGTGAAGCGGTCTGTTCCACCAACGCTTCTCACTATGAACTCCAAGTGGAAATAGGTAATCATGGATTTCACATAATTGATCCTTCATTATTAGAAATTAAGTTGATGGCAAAAAAGATCTTTTCAGTCATAGTCCTTTAACCAAATTATTTTAACTTAAAACCTAAAATCCCATCTATTGTGTTAATCTATCTCAGTTAAGTTTGGAACAGGATGGGTCATTATCTATAGCCTTATACACGTGAAACATTGGCTCTGAATATTCAGAAACATTAAGCACTGCAGGTGCTGTTAGATGCTGGGATAGAAAGCCGTGTAATACACCTGAGGAGTTCGTTCTCTGGGAAGATGAACACATGGATGGCTTTGTTTTACCCCCTGGAGGGAATTGTAGTCGAGGTGTGCAAGGTGCTGTGGGAACAGAGAAGATGGAGCATCCAACCATCCATCTGGGAGTCAACAAAGAGCAAAAAGAGCTGGATCCTGAGAACGAGGAAAAGGTTGCCAGATGTTCCAGTCAGAGTGCTTGTTACAAACAACAGAAAACAATCCTAAAAGCAAGAAAATTTTTTAAACAGTGTTGCTAACACAGAATTACTGACTGGAGAAATAATTAGGCTTGGAAGAGCCAAGAGAAGCTCAGCCTAGAACCATGGCCAGGGCATGGCGTGGAGCAGCCTCGGCCGGGGACTGCCTCGTCGGGCACCTCCACCACCAGACAGTGGGTCCCCCGGCAGCGAGTTCTGACTGCCGCTTCTTTATGTCACTCACTCCATCCTCCAGTTGGCCGAGCTTAGGTCACTGACACTCCCGTCCAGGGTCAAGGAGACAAGGAGAATAAGGAGCTGACCTTTTCTAAAATAGCACTAGTGGAAATGCCCTGAGGAAGGAGGTTCAGATGGTGTCAATTAAAAAAGATAAAAAATATTTACTTCAATAGATGAGTGAGGAAGGATGGTTAGAAAGGGACTGCCACATAGTTGCCTAGAAGTGGGAGCAAGGGGAGTGTAGGCAGTGGTAGGGCAGGAGATAAATCTGGGAGGTTGGGAACACATTGTGTATTTAGAGGTTCAGACTCTGTGTCCACCCCCACAACTGACCCACTTTATTACTCAAAGGATTTAAGGCCGAAATTTGGAATTTATCCTCTCTGTGCTAGAAAGACATTTTGGAATCGTGAGGATGCTAATATTAGCATCTAAAAGGCATTATACTGAACATTTGATACGGGTTTTTCATTTGACCCTTCTACCACTCCCATTTTGCAGGTAAGACTTCTGAGGCTCTGAGATTTGTTTAACAGTCAAACAGCTAGTGATTTGAAAGCAAACCTTCTGACTGCAGGGTCTCAGCTTTCAGCTGCTGCACTGTACTTCCTTTCTATTGATAAAATGCTGGATTTAGAAAGACAACTGCAATTCCATGCAGAAGTCTGGAAGATGTAGATTAGTGGTGAGGAAGTATCCTCACCACCTGAGTCTTTTTAAAAATTGCAATGCCTATATCCCATCACAGACCTACTGAATCAGACTTGCTGGCGACTGAAAGGGAGGCATAGGCTTTTGAAGTAGTCCCCTCAGGGATTTTGACACATGCCCTGGTTGAGAATAGAGGGCACAGTGAGGAAGCCCCTCCATCTGTCCCGGAAAGAGGACAGGACTTGAACCCAGGCAGTGATGCCCGCACTGCAGAGGAAGGGATGAATTTGAGATATTATTAAATGTCTTTTTAAAGACAAAAGTAACAGAATTTGGTGATTGTGGAAAGAGGGGGGAACTAATGTTTATTAAGTGCCTATTAATAGGTGCCACTAGGTATTTTAAAATTTAAACACTGACACCAAATGCTGGCGAGCATATCAAGCAACTGCGGCTTTGGGGAACACAAACCGGTCCAGCCGCTTTCAGAAAGAAGTTGGCACCTTCTCATAAGGTTAAACACCCATGCCCCAGCACTTCCAGTCACAGGTATTTGCCCAACAGAAATGAAAACATGTCTACTTAAAGAATGTGCTGACAGCTTGATTTATAGTCTCCAATCACTGAAAACAACCCAAATGATCTGTCAGCTTGTAAATGGATAAATAAATTGCGGTATTTTCATAGGATGAATTATTACTCAGTAATAAAAAGAAATTAACTACTGAAGCCTACAAAGTGGTCTAAGTAAACGAAGCCAGGCACAAAACACTCCATTCTTTATGATACCATTTCATGACGAAAATCACATTAGTGGTTGGAAGGGACTGGAAGTGGCTGTAGGGATTACTGAGCAGCATTCCATTGTTTGAGTCACAATTTATCAAGTCACAATTTTAGCCATTATAATAGGTATGTTATGCCATATTGTTGTGGTTCTAATTTGCATTTCTCTATCTTGAACATCTTTTTATGTGCTTATTGGCGATTCCTATAGCTTCTTTTATGGATTCCCTATTTAATTTTCTGCCTATTTTTAATGAGTTTTTGTTTGATTACTAAGAGTTGTAAGAGTTATTTATATACTCTGGATGTAAAAGTATTGTTAATACTGTCAATCAGTGGCTTGCCTTTTCATTTTCCTGAAGAGTTGAAGTTTTTAATTTTGATGAAGTTCAAATTATCAGTTTTTTCCTTCTTTGGTGGCTAACAGTTTTATGTCTGATTGTAGGAAGAGGCTTTGACAACCTGACTTCTGTCCATCTTGCACGGCATACTCCCACAGGAACCCTGGTGACGATCAAAATCACAAATCTGGAAAACTGCACTGAAGAACGCCTGAAAGCTTTACAGGTGACAACACCAGAAAATAATGCATTTAAAGTGCTGTCTATCCGAGGAGTTACATCTGTAAGGGGACCCCCCCCCCAGATTAACAGGTCTTTTCTGTTAGAGAAAAGTAGATTTCTTTCTTTTGTAAACATGCGATTACAGAATTAGAAAGAATACTTGGAAGGCAGATCTATGAAAGAAAAAATATATTCAAACTTTGGTAACTACTATGCATTCCTTCACATGAATATCATATTTGAAATGCTGGTCTGCAGATTTACAAACCCCTAGTTAGTCCAATCACAAATAGTCATACAGGGAAATGGAAGAGACAGTGTCCTTCCCATCCAGACTTCTAAATTGATAAATTTTAATAGAATTGCCTTTCAGTAATATTATAATACCATTTTCGTTGTCACTAATCACTTTCTGTATAAAGAAGGAAAGGATTTGATTTTGATATTGTCTTCGTTTTCAAAATGTTTACATGTACACATGTATCTTACACAAAGATTGGAAGAAATTATACCAAAAATTTTTTAAAATACATTTTATTGATTTTTATACAGAGAGGAAGGGAGATGTTATAGAAACATCGATGAGAGAGAAACATCAATCAGCTGTCTCCTGCACACCCCCCTACTGGAGATGTGCCTGCAACCAAGGTACATGCCCTTGACTGGAATCGAACCTGGGACCCTTCTGTCTGCAGGCCGACGCTCTATCCACCAATGCCAAACCGGTTAGGGCTATATCAAGATTTTATTAGTGGTTTTCTCTGTGATGTAATGTTAGCAGTTACTTTTGTCTTCATGTATTTGTGTGTTTTTTTAAATTCTCACCTGAGAATGTGTTTTTATTGATTTTTAGAGAGAGAAGAGAGAGAGAGAAACCTCGATCAGTTGCCTCCCATACCCACCCCCACTGGGATTGAATCTGCAACCTAGGTATGTGCCCTGATCAGGAATTGAACCTGCAACCTTTTGGTGTACAGGACAATGCTCTAGCCAACTTAGCCACCCAGCCAGGGCTTTTTATGTATTTTTTAAAATGTTTCTATACTAAGAGCACAGTATC